TTGAAAATTGTATTTGTATGTAATTGGAAAAAATAAAATACTATTAAATTTTTTAAAAATTCATAAAAAATAATGTGCTTAGACACTTGGAAGAATGGGAAAGGCCTTTGGCCTTGGCTGGAAGAGGAAGAGCACTTTGTTTCAACTCAAATCACCTTCCCCTTTTTAGTTCCTCCTTCCTCTCCCCCTCTGCCAATTCTCTAAGACTAAAGATTACAGAACAGTTGTTGATCTAGAAGGAATTTCCCATATCTGGAGTTTCATTCACCAATAAAATCACAGGTCTTGTCCACTTTCCCTTGCCGCCTCCCAAAACAGTACCTAAAGAAAAGTAACATTGAGGCCAGCCCAGAATCCAGGAGCTCTGCAGAATTGGGTGAGGAGGGACAAATATCCCATCACTGGCCCTCTCCCCCTTCCTCCAGAGCAATCACTTGTTTCTCCCTGCCATGAGGGGGTGGGTGGGTGGGGGAGGCAGCGTGGATCTCTCTGCAGGTATGCCCCTGTAGTCGCAATCTTCAGTCTTGAAAATTCTTTTTTTTTTTTTTTTGCATTTCTGTTGTTTGATAGAATTTGTGACATAACAAAGCTCTCTGTTGTCCAGAGCTGTGCCCTTCACCCCTAAGCGAAACTTTTTCTTACACACATACACACTCTCCAACATAAAAATCTCTTTTTTTGCACAGAAAAACACTGATTGATTCTAGGTAAGGAGGACAGTGCCCTAGCGCAAGGGTCAGAGGTCAGGGCCCACAGCTAGAGTAAGACCCAGAGGGAACAGGTCATATTGTGTGTGGGGGGTGTCGGGACAAATCAGGCCTAGGATGGTGAATTCTGGACCTCCCCTCCCACCTCTGCCAGGCAGCCACAAGGCAGGAGGGAGGGAGGAGGCCACAAAGCCACCTGCTGGCCCCCAGCTGTGTGTCTTAGTTGAATGGCCTGCCAGGGGGCTGATACTGGCTCTGGGTAGAGGGGAGGAATGAAGGGTGACCAGGGCATCAAATCCCTGCCTTCTAGAGCTTGCCTCCTGGAAGAGGTGGGGTTTAAGCTCTTAGACAAGCAAGGATGAGGCTAGCACCCTCCTGCTCTCCAGGCCCTAACAGAAGCTTGAGAGGGGAACGGGGAGAGGAGAGAAAGAAACCCATCCCTTCCTGTTGTCCCACCCACTCTGGCGACCCTGTGACTAGAAGACGTGGAAAGCTGGGGCCAGAGATTAGTAACTTAGACTATGGGCACACTGGGGGACGGCTTGGGCCATCACCCACATTTTCTGTCTGTCTGTCCATCTGCAATCATGACAAAGCTTGGCTGGGCCCCTTCCACTCCAACACCCTTGCTCTGAATCCTTTCCAGCAGGCAGGCAGGGATGCTCTTCCTCTGTGGGGAAGAGGAAAAAAGACGTGAGCAGGAAGGAAGGCAAGGGCTGCTTCGAGCTGCCCCGCCTCCCCACCACTGCAGCAGGTTGGGGCTCCTTCTCCACATGCCCTAGAGGTGCTGACAGTCCCCAAGTGAAGACAGCTTGGTCCCTGAGCCCTCAGGGGACGCCAGCCTCATGCTTCATGCGCACTCTCTGGAAAGAAGAGCTCCCGGCATCTTTATACTGTGTCCGGGGGAGAGACCACACTGTGCCCCACCGTGCGGGGGTCATCATAAATCTCGTGGTCATTTCCCCCCGGGCTGGTCTCATTCCCAAAGAAGTGGGTGGTGGCAAAGCTCTCGGTCCAGGCGATCCAGGCAGTAGCACTTGTCCCAGCCCTCAGGGAAGACGTCGAAGCTGATCATGCCCCCTCGGGAGAACCTCAGCCCTTTGCCAGCACACTCTGCCTTCAAGGCCTCCACGAATTTCTCCCGATCTTTTCTTTCTCGTCCAGCTCGGAGAATTCAATCCTCTCCTCCAAGGTACAGCTGCGGCCAATGGGGGAGACGTTCAGCATCCCATTGCAGAATTCGATGAAGGTCTCGGGCTTCTTGGGCAGCTCCAACAAGGCCATGTAGTTGAGGCAGAAGTTGGGGTCCTGCAGAAGCTCCTCTCCAAGGTGGTTCTGGACGGTCCGTTAGGAAAGCAGCCGTCCATTTTTGTATTGCACCGTCCCGTTCTCGGCAAACACGTAGCCAAACTTTTCTATGACCCCGTCCCCCTTACCCAGCTCTTCCGCGATCTTGGAGTAGTCCCCGAAGCTCTTGGAGGAAGGCCGCCACTTCTGGGTCGATTTTCTGGCGAGCCTGGGTGAGGGTCCGGTCCACGCCGAACAGGCAGAGGACGTGCTCCTTCCTCCGGGACGTCTCCCCGCTGGCCATGACCTAGGCCCAGGCGAGGGGCGGAGGCTGCGGGGTTGGCGGGAGTGACCCACGCTTAGCCCGAGCTCTTCTGCGCTAAACGTCGGAGCCGGGAGGGAGCTTGGAACAGGGATGGCCGTCAGTGTTGGGAGCTTTGCTGACGCTAACGCCCGTCTTCCAGTCACGGCTGGAGAAGAGCAAGGGATTAGGCAGTTTTTCCTGGTTAGCAGGGAAGTCTAGAGGTTTAGGGGTGCTGGGACGCCGACATCACGACCCATGGGTCCTGCCCAAAAGAATTTGACTGGAGCCTTCTTTCAGCCAAAGAGGAGGTTTATTAAGGATCCCCCATATTGACCAGACTCCTAAGGAATCTGAACATTTGTGAGCTATTGGCTAGGTTCTTAAGGAATCTGAACATTTGTGAGCTATTGGACACCTAATACAACCAGACACTCTTGCTATCTAACGGACATCATCAGGATTCTCCTGCAGTCCTCCACCCATACCTGCTTTCTACTTTATTGATCATTTAAGGAACTTTGCCGGATTAGGTTGTCCATAAAAGAGCTTTAAAAAAAAAAAAGAGCATATTATGATGCAAGTCATACAAAAACAAAGTCGCCAGCTACACCGATCTTTGATGCAAGGTGGAACAAGTGATTGCGAACCCTGAAATATTTTTTCCTGACCACCCAAAATTTTTTTTAGGATAGTAATAATCATATGAAGTATTTTGCAAAAAAGAAAAAATGAAATTTTAATATGTTCAGGGAAAGGGCTAAGTGACTCTTTTCCTTCCAGCTTCCTCTCACCATCCCTACCCCCAACACTTGTCCCACAAGAACTTTATAATCCTAGAGCAGAGAGCGTGATTTTTTTTTCTTTAAACCAAAGTTGGACATTTCTTTGAATATGCTATAAAAAGTTTGTCTTTAAAATAACCATCAAGGTTTATGAAGTACTTTCTACCAAGCTCTTTTAGAACTACATGAGTAGATAATGACTGCTTTAAATAGTAACAACAATAATAATAATTAAAATAACAATAATAGCTAGTATTTATATAGTGCCTGCCTGCTACGTGCTAGACACTGTGCTAAGTGCTTTACAAATATTATCTCATTTGATCCTTACAACAACCTTGGTTGGTAAGTGCTATTATTATTTCCATTTTACAATCAAGGAAACTGAGGCAAACAGAGGTTAAGTGACTAACCCAAAGGTCACACAGCAATAAGTGTCTGAGGCTGGATTTGAACTTAGTTCTTCTTGACTCCGGGCCAGGGAAGAATTAAACACTGAGTGGCATTTAAATTTGAGGTCTTCTGGGAGTAAGGCCAGCAGTATTTATACTCCTTCCCCTAGCATTCAGTGTCTTCTGGTAATTTAGTCTTACCTTGCCGATCTGACCTTATTTCTTGTTATTTCCCAAGAAGCACTTTTCAATCCCACCAGGCCACTTTCCTCACCCCTACAAATGCCATGCTTATTCCCGCTTTTGTACCTTGATTCATATTCTACTCCTACCTGGAAAAGCTCTTCCCACCCCCCTCCCATCCAAATAGTACCTCTAATTAAAGCTGGGCTCTAGCCTTCGCCAAGAAAACCCCGAATGGGGTCACGGAGTCTGACACAACTGAAAAATGAGTGAACAACAATAACTAATCTTATCTTGTTCATGAAGTTCCCTAGCCCCTTCCCCTTCTCTCCAAGACCACTTTAAGTCAGACTGATGGCCAGACCTCCTGTTGTACTTCCTATAGGTGCTACTCATTTGAGCACTTAGTCACACACTGCTTTCTATCAATTAATATTTCGAATCAAATAAGATAAAGCAAGTAACATTTTGTGACCTATTATTACTATTTGGCTGTTTCTGGAGTATATGTCTATGTATCCTAACCCCTCTCCCCATGCAGGTTAAGTTAATTTTTCCTTAAAAGGTATTAAGACCTTCCCTGAAACTTGATTGGTTCATGTGATTAAGAGTTCCGATTGTTGACATCCTGAATCTCAAAAGCAGCCATGAGAAGGTACTCTCGAAGGCTTGGCTGGCAGATCATGTTGGATAGTGGAGGCAAGAGAGCTTTCCTTAGCTGAATCAGTTCAAGGTTGACTATCCTTCTCCTGCTGTGGTTAAATAAATCTCATTTTGTTCCAGTATCAAACCTAAACTAGCAGGGGACTGGCCTGATTCATCCCCTGCCCAGAACAATACTCTATCTCTCCAATGGATGGTGTACTACTGCTTGAGAACATAAACCAGTCTCTCTCCCTCCCCAACTCACCCAGCACTTAAGCAAATAGTAAATAGCCAAGGAATAGATAATTACTCAATTGACTTGGTGTTGTTTGGTAGGATCCTTGCCTTTCTGGATCCAAGCTTAATCTGGCCTAAGTTTATCTTCAAATCCAGGCAGATTACCCAATGACAGCTCCACAGAGTCTGTGTAGTACAGAATTTGAAAGATTTGAACACAGCAAATAATATAAACAAAGTCTTGATGGTAAGTGGGTCCCTTTACAATTTATTTCTCACTACTCTAAGAGATGATCCTAAAAGTATTATAACACCAGCACACCTCTGTAAAAAGGCCAATGCCTTTTTATGTTGTGTTATATGGCAAAAAAAAAAATCATAATATATACTAATAGTTTCTCCCTAACCCTATACTGACCCCAAAAGAATGAACAAGATCTTTCTTTTTCATAGAAGGCTTTACTTAAACTCAACAAGTTGTCACAGACCCAAACCACTTTACTCAAAACTCAATTGTATTGTTGAACAAAAGGTTGTGTTCTCGGCCCATCTTGGCAATACTTCGTGGCTGCTTAGGTATCTGTGGGGAACACGTGTACGCTCCTGGGCCTGGTGTTTTCTGGAAAAAATATCAAACGCACAGCTGATTGTCTATACAACTATAATGAAAGTTAACCTACCTGGAAGTGACATAGCAGCAGTTGAGTTATAAACTTTTAAAGTCTACACATGAGGTCATCTTCAACAACCCCCACCCCCGTGAGAAAAATGTGCCAACTAATGCCCTGGAGCAACAAAGCATAGTTTAACAAACACGGTGCATGCTATTTCTGACCCCTAATCTAGTCATGTATTTTAGTTTGGGAACAGAACCATATGGTCTGAGATGAGGAAATCACCCTTCCATCCCTAACCTATCTTACAGCTCCCCAGCCTTGGAGAGAGACAGAGACAGAGACACAGACAGAGACACAGACAGAGAGGCAGAGACAGACCTCAATTTGTTGCTAACTAAAAGAAATTAGCCTCAGGTAATCAAAACTGTTTTTTATCAATAAAAAAAATTACATTTGTAAATGCCATAGCAGCTGGAGTTCTTTCATGTTTTCCTCTAGGCTCTGACATTGGTCAACCTTCCATTTACACTGTATATATTGTGCATGGGTAATGTTTTGCATGTTGTCTTCCTGGCTAGAATTTGAGGACTGTCTTTGCTTTTCTTTATATCCCCAGGGCTTAGCATGGTGCCTGGTACGTTTCAAGTTCCTAATAAATACTTTTCAACAGACTGACTTTCATCTGAATATTTTAGCTTCTAATCTCTTGACCTCTCACCTTAGGCTTCTAGTCCTATCCCTATCTCTCTTTGATTCTTTCTTAGTAAATCTGAACTTGGGTCTTCCTGACTAGAGGCAGCTAGGTGGCGCAATGGATAGAGTGCTGGGTCTGGAGTCAGAAAGGCTCATCTTCCTGAGTTCAAATCTGGCCTCAGACACCTTGGGCAAGTCACTTCACCCTGTTTGCCTCAGTTTTCTCATCTGTAAAATGAGCTGGAAAAGGAAATGTCAAACCCCTCGAGTATCTTTGCCAAGGAAACTCCAAAAGGGGTCATGGAGAGTCAGACATGACTGAAAAATGACTGAACAACTTCCTGACTCCATGCCCAGCACTTGATCCACAGCGCCATTTGGGTACCTCAAATTTGAGGGAGCAAATTCATTTGAGAGCTTATGAAACGTGCAAGACAGTATCATCTTATCATAGAAAAAAAAAACAATGTAGGTGGTTGATCCCACCAACCTGCAAAGTAGGATTCATTCCCAGTCCCCCCCACCCCCACCAAAAAGTGTGAGCCTCAAGTCTTCTGATATATACTATATATACATATATATAATACATATATTTGTATAATATTTGTAAATTACTCAGTACAGTGCCAGGCACACAGTAGGTGCTTAATAAATGCTTGTTCCCTCCTCCCCACCCCCCTTCCCCTTCTCTTGGAAATGGACCACTACTGCAGGTTCTCCATAGGACACAAAACAGTGGCTGGAAGGAGAAAGTTGTAGATTCATTGGAATTTGAACAGGCAGAGGGCAGGAGAAAAGCTGAATAAAGCTTATTGGGTTTTCTCCTGTAATAAAAAGGTCCCTTCCCACTCTAAGATTCTGTGTTTTAAATGTATATTAAAAAAAAAATCTGTTTTCAAATCTGTAAAATGAGACCATAGATTTGAAAGCATTTGGAAAGTTTAAAGAGCTGACACATATATCAGCCAATCATTTGAAAGGTAATAAATGTTTGTTGAACTAAATCAAATCCAAGGTGCAATAGACTGGCACTGCTAAGAAATGTGAAACATTACTTTTTTTTTCCTTTTTTTTTTTTGAGGGTTTTTTGAAGGCAATCAGGGGTAAGTGACTTGCCCAGGGTGACACAGCTAATAAGTGTTTGAGGTAGAATTTGAACTCAGGACTTCCTGCCTCCAAGGCCCATGTTCTATTCTCTGCGCCAACTACCTGCCCTAAAACATTACCTTTTGATGGCTGTGGTTAGGAATATTGTGGGTAAATGGAAAGACACCGTGTCTGGATTCAGGACCATTCCTGAGTCTATGTTAGGTTGGCATACCTAACCCCAATGCCAAACTTTCTCTCTGTTGCTCCTGTCTTAACCTTTGTACTAACTGTCCCCTTTCCCTGGAAGGCACTCCATCCTCACCTCTATCTCAGAGTCTCCCTTTTCCTTCAAGATGCAGCCCCAAAACTGTCTTCTACATGAAGCCTTTCCTGATTCCCCCCCAACTCCTGGTGTCCTCCCTCCCAAACTGCCTTGTATTTAACTACTTTGTATACATTTGTATTTATTAACTTCTTATTTATGCTGTATATACTTTTATATGGACATATCTTTCCCTTGTTAGAATTGAAAATAGAGATTATTTCATTCTTTGTACCTCCACCCCCCAGCACCTGGCATGGTGCCTGGCACATAGTAGGGAACATGAGAAATACTTTCTGGTTGATTGATTAATTATTTGATTAAAAGTCATCTTGTCCCACTCCTCATCCAATGCCTTAGGGCAGGGTTCATTGCTGTTCTTTGAACCTCTCACACTACATTGGTCACTAAAGCCACTGCCCCTTTGGGATAGCCCTCTTTTCTAACTGGTCTCTATTTTCTAGAATACTCACTGAACGAATGGGCAGGAATCTAGGCACTTTTGACTGGAAACAGGATGTGATAGGATTTACATTTGATCCTTTCACATCATAATAAGCTGGTCCTGGGCCTTCTTTCTAAAGGGAAAATGAATTTTTCATTATTGTGAACATTGAGAATTTTTCAATCTTCCTGCTAGATAATTAGGTTGTATGGAACACATTTAATTAAAGTAGACATATCTCTTTCTAAAATGTGTGATTGATATTTTTTACACATGGCACACTAATCACAACTCAAGGCAGAACCTTGAGAATTATAGAAGAAAATGTTTGCCATGTCACTGATTGGGAGTTGGTTTAGCTTTGAGCATGCATTATCTGGATACTTGAGATGATAAAGTTGGGTCATGTGTACATACCACCACTGGGTGTACGCAACCAACATACAAGCCAACTGCAAATGTCTGTCCTCGGATAATGAGGCACCCCGCCCCAGAACAGTGAACGATGCATCACTCTCATAAGCTCCCTCAAGAAGTTGTTCAAAAGATTATATACTGAAAGCTGAAAGAGACCTTAGATGCCATCAAGGCCAACTCACCCCAATTTTACAAATGAGGAAACTGAGACTGAAAGAAATTAAGTGACTTGCCTAGGGTCACATAGCTAGGTAGGATGTCAACTCCTACCTCCTCCTAAATTTTGTTTCCTAAACAAACCAACTGCTTGGGAGCAGTTAAGTCTGGGCAAGGAGAATTATTTATCACTTTTATTTCGTATGACCACATTTTTTTCTTTCTTTTAATCAATTTTTTTTTCAATTAAAAAGCATCTCTCTCTTTCTCTCCCACCTCTCACAAGAGATATAGGGTGTGGGAAGAGGGCAGAAACCTGCAAACATAATAAACCACAAACCCATAGTCAAGGAAAATAAACCCCCACATTGGCCAAATCCAAAAATGTATGTGTTACTATATGTCTCTCATTTGTGTAGATTTCTACTTGCACTCTGATTATGTGAGATAAGCCTCTCATTCCTCCTCTTTTCTCCCTTGGTTTATCCTTTCCCCCCCTTTCCTTTCTTCTTTAAGATCGTCAAAACAAAATGAAAATCACTCTCAGATTCTCCATCATATTTGACTAATTCTATGACCCCAATGACATTAAGGTTTTTAGGGGATATTTGAACCATCACCCCCCTTTCCATTAGAAGGCAAGAACTCCAACTTTATAAAGCCTTTTCTGATTGTTTGCATATACTGTTTTATGTTTTTCTTTATTCAGACATTTCTGATTTCAAAAGTTTCTAGTCAATTCATTTCTGAAAGACAAAGTTTTTTAATCAGGAATGCTTAGAAATCCTCTCTTTCATCAAAGATCCATTTTCCCCCATAGTATTATATTCAGTATTCTGGTTAAGTTATTCTTGGTTGTGACCTGATTTCTTTTGGCTTTTGGAATAGCATATTCCATTCTCTGTTTCTTTAAAGTAGGAGTTGCTAAATCTTATGCAATCCTGACTGTGATTGCTTGGTATTTGAACTATTTCTTTCTGCTGCCTGCAGTATTTTTTTTTTTCTTTGACCTAGGTGCTCTATATTCTGGCTATGATATTCCTGACAGCTTTCATTTTGGGGGTTTTTTCAGGGAGCGATCAGTAAATTCTTTCTAGTTTCACTTTACCCTCTGGTTCTAAAAGATCAATGCAGTTTTCTTTCATGATTTCTTGAAATATGATATCTAGAGTTTTTTTGTTTGTTTGTTTTTTGTGGTTTTGGTCATGACTTTCAGATAGGTCAATGATTGTTAATGATCTGTTTTCCAGGCAAGTTTTTTGTATGAGACACTTTATACTTTCTTTTATTTTTCTATCTTTTGATTTTGTTTTAATATTTGTTATCTCATAGTTATTAACTTCTGTTTAGTCCATTTTAATTTTCAGGACATTCGTTAGTTGGGCAAGGTTTTATATCTCTTGTGCTAAGCTGTTCATTCTTTTTCCAAGTCTCTCCTCTAATTCTTCCCTTTATCACTCTTATTTCATTTATGTAATTTAAAACTTCATTTTAAAACTCTTACATCATTTTTCTAAGAATACTAATTGATCTTGACAGCAAGCTGTGTTTTTTCTTTGAGGCTTTGCTTATAGGTATTTTGGAGTTATCTTCCTTTTCTGGGTTTATGTCTTGGGCATCTCTGACCTCATAAGAGTGCTTTACCATTTTTTTTTGTTTGTTTAGTTTTTTTTTTTTCCAATGATCTGCTTTAGGCAGCCATGACATTGCTGGTCTAGCTGAGAGCTCTGGGGGGGCTGAGTCTATGAGTTTTCCATTCTGGAAAACGCTACACTGTCTGGAAAACTTGAGATGCTAGGTACTAAGTCTGAATTCTTTGCTGGGAGACCCTGTGCTACCACTCTTGGTAGAGTACTGATGCTGTAATATGCTCAGGGTGTCCTCACCTGTTGGCCTAATTCAGAATTCTTAGCTGAATCTATGTCCCTACCCCTCTCCAATGCCACCCTTGTGCCCTACCCCATGGTGCTGTTCCCCAGTTCCTGCCCTGGTCATTTGCCTATAGGTAGAATTTATGATCGTCAGGAAAAATGATCCACTGTAGTTTCTCCTTTGATTTCCCAATCACTTCTCAGTCCAGCATTCCTCTTAGATCATTATTGGAGTGGCTGTCGGAGGAGCTGGGCTATATTCCTTCCTCAAACTCCACCATCCCACCATATGGCCACAATAATTTAATATTCTTTGGCTAAATTAATCAATATGTCAAATGAATCATGCTAAGTGTTTTAGCATTGATTAGGATAACACATGCCACATGCTTATTTCTTACTGTGTAAAGTAGATTATCTTTTTATGGGTCTTAAATCTACTTCTTTCAAACTTTAAAGTGTGTTCCCTGGTATTATGGGATTGGTTAGAATTGGGTATAGTTGTCTCCTTTTTGTGTACACACTTCAATCGTTCTCCCTTTTGGTTTTTGGCTTTCCAAACAGAAGAAACCTTATTCTTTTCTCATACAGAAGCTTTCCCACAGCCTTGAGAATTCCAGTTGTCCTTTTCTAGAGCGTCTCCCGTTCCATTATGTCTTTCTGGAGCCGTGGCAGCTAGAACTTCAGTGGTTTACCAAATCACACCACAGAAGCCGAAAGGATTCATGGCACTTCCCAAGATGCCTCACATCCACCCAGGGCATAGCAGAATCTGACCATTTTTATAGCTAGCTTCTGAGGGACAGATATTTTAAGCAATTTACCCAAGGTCATAGGTTCAACTCATTTGCAGAGCTAGAGAGGCAGCCTGGATTGTGACTGTGACTCTGGTGGTGGATTACCTGTTGCAACACTCCCATCCTCCGTGACAGCTACAGTGATGGGCTGCCAATGCAAACTGTACCCATCAACAGCTGGATGATGCTAAGCCATGACGCTTCCCTTGTTTACTGTTCTATGTCACAGTGGTATAATTAGGGCTGCCATTCTCAATTATACCACTATGAATGGAGACGGTTATTAACAGCAGAGCACAAGTCTAATAATAAAGGGATGGGAAAGGCATCATCATTTTACATCCTGCGGCAGAAAGAAAGAAACAGCAATGTTTTCAAACTGACAGATGTGTGGAACAAAGATCGTAAACAAGGTGAAGCTGCTGGTACTCCCTTAGCTCATCGCTCATCTCGGAGAAATATGAGCTCCTGTAATAACTCAAACTGGGTAGGCAGAAGCTCCGTTGGGTGCCACCAGAAAATGGAATACTACTGGGCGAGATTAATAGATGTGTCCAAGTAGCTCCTGCTAAGTGTTTTACTATTGATTCAACTCCAATGACGATATACAGATCAATTGGTAGGGTGGCAAAGATATACTGTAGCCTACACCCTTTCATCACATTCAACACTAATGAAGCATTTGTCAAACCTATACTTTCAGACATCAAGATCCTTGGGAGACCCATTAATATAGGAATAGGAATATTCAGGCTTTTGAGTCTTCCATTTAATGGAGCCATTTTCATTTAATGTACCGTTACTTCATCAGCAGGGGCTCACTTGTTTTATTCAAATTAGCTAAGACATGCGACAAAGGTTCCTTTGAAATAACCATTATTCATCCCCTGTATGTCTCTCGTTGTTTGTTCTTCATTTTTGAAGAGGACCAATGACTTTGTAGAGTGATGTCTTGACTCATGAATGAATTGGATTTAAGTGAGGCAGAGTTGCACAAAGCCATCAGTCTCGCTCTCTCTTCTAGAGACTTCAAAGTCCAGTGGAAAGACAAAAGTCAGGATGACTGGCATTGGCCCAGGATGTAGTGGATGACCTCGGCGTCTTTAATGTCTGACCACAGCACCTGCTTCGGCCACCTTCATGACCTTGGGAACAAATTGTTCTCATTCACCCATTCCACTGGCGGAAAATCTTCATATACTTGAAGTAGATACCTCCCTAACTCACCAACAGGTCTGAGACACATTGGTTACTCTCAGACTGGTTTAGCCCATCTGTGAGACGGTTTACCACGGGGTGGTTGCTGTGCATGTTACAGTTTCTTGGAGCTGCAGGTAAGAGTTGAGTGCCAGGTAGACACCAAAGGTGGATGAGCAGCCCTGAAAAGGGCTTGGCAAGGGGTCATACTAGAGGTGCTAGTCCTCCTTGACATCCCAAACACCTCTATTTGTCCCTTACAGTGATTAAG